TTTATTTAAACATTTCATTTGCACTTTAACATTAGTTTAAAATTTATATGCATAATTCATTATATAAACATCATTTCAAAACTAATATTTTTAGTATAAATTTATTTTATTGCAAGTTAATACATATGTTTAATAAATGATCTTAATTTTATGTACTTAAAACTTCTCATAATAAGCATAGCATTTTATTAAATCTAAATATTTTCAATGTATTATGATTTATTTTCAAGATTTTTTTGAAGATATTTAGGTGATTATTGAAAGTAAAGTATAAGTTATAAGTAGCTTCAAGTATAGTAATAGATGTATAAAAATAATAATAAATGAATAATTGAATATTATTTGATAAACTGGTGTTTATAATAAAATCTTTAATGTTATACTATATAGGCCTAAGTATTTTACTTCAAATAATTGAATAAATTGCATTTTATGTTATAGTGATATACATCACTATTATAAATTATATATATATACTAGCTGCAAGGACCTGCTTCGCTGGGTTTTTAAAAAGTAACGATAGTGAAGATTAAGATAATTACATTATAGCCAATATTACCCGTTTTCACAGAATGCAAGAATTAGGTGCCCTGTTTCCAGACTAATTAGAGACCTGGTCCCGATTCTATTTCTGAACGTCTCCTGTTCACGTCAAGTCAAACATACTATTTTCAATGTTTCTGGAACGTTTACAATCGTTCTATAATCAAACCAATATTCGAATTTTATGTTTGAATTAAATTCGAACAAATTCAAACAAAACATTCGAAATAGAAAGCCACTTTCAACCACTTTCAAGCCCATATCTCCCGCACCCTTATAGCTATCGAGACGCAACCACCCCTATGCACGAATGGAGACTTGGGGCTACTACCACGTACAAACACCATTCACATGCGATGTGTAGTTTTTGCGGAAAAGTGAAATATAGGAACACGCACGTCCATTTTTATATATATACTAGCTGCAAGGACCCGCTTTGATGGGTTTTTATTTCTTTGTACATTTGTATGTAATATAGTTTTTTTATATATAAAAGACTGTTTTTCTAAGTAATCTAGAATCTAGCTGCAAGGACCCGCTTTGCTGGGCAAAAAGTAACGATAGTGAAGATTAAGATAATTACATTATAGCTAATCTTACCCGTTTTCACAGAATGCAAGAATTAGGTCCCCCGTTTCCAGACTAATTAGAGAATTTTTACGTTTAGTCAAACGAACAAATTTCAACGTTTCTGGAACGTTTTTAATCGTTTTATAATCGAACCAATTCGAATTTTATGTTCGAATTTAATTCGAACAAATTCGAAAAAATCGAACAAAACATTCAAAATAGAAAGCCACTTTCAACTACTTTTAGCCTCATATCTCCCGCACCCTTATAGCTATCGAGACGCAACCACCCCTATGCACGAATGGAGACTTGGGGCTACCACTACATACAAACACCATTCACGTGCGATGTGTAGTTTTGGCGAAACGTGAGATATAGGGACATACATGTCCATTTTTATATATATATATATAGATATATAGATATAGATATAGATATAATACTTAATTATAAGCTGTGTTATTGAATATAAAAACATAACATTTTTATTTTATAAGCTAATACATATTTTTTTAATGAATAATAAATTTGATTAAAATATTTATAAGCTATATCAAATTGACTTTGTAGGAGTCACTTAAATAGGAGTTGATAAAAATTACATAGAACTTATAAGATATCATTCTTCAGATGAGTTAGTGTTATTTTATTTCAGTATTATAAAATTGAAGTACAAAGATAATTTTTATTATTTCAATTTTAATACTGAAATGAAACATAAAAGTTTATCTGAAGAATGCTATATTTAATAATGAAAATATTACTATTCAGGATACAAAGAAACTAATAGACTATAATAAAAATATGGTTTAGAATTTGACTTTTAAGTGCTCAATTTCTTCTGTTGATAGTTAAAATCTGATAATTTAATTTATGAAATTTTATATCTGAGATTGTCTTTCTTTAAAATATTTTTCATCAATATTTACCCAATTCAGTTTTCTGAAGACCCCCTTTTTTTTTTTCTTAAGTGGAGAAATAATAAGAGATGTATGGAGGAGAAATAATATCTTATGATAAATCTCTCTGTCTCTGTATTGATTATTTTATGTCTTTATTATTTTGTTTGATTTATGTTCCATTTCTATATATATTTTTTATGACTTTTGTATAAGTTTTCCCTGTTCCTTTTTTTTTTTAAGTGCTTCTATCCTTTTTATGTTGTTATTGTATTGAAATCTTTTCATAATTTATGAAATAGATAAGATGTAATGACATTTATTACTACATATACCACATACAAACTCAATTTGCTGTAATGTTCTGTTCTTAGAAATAATTAAACAACACTTTTACAAAAAATTGCTTGTTACTTATTTCTAAGAACATTAATACAAATTGACTGAGTGTGTTTTATCTACTTCATTATGAAATAGGTGTCTAATTGTAAAAATCAAATAAATTCTAAGAATTTTTTATATGTAACTATAAATGATTTATTGTTATAAATGGGGTGTTGTATAATATTATTCTCTACATTTTATTCATTCTTTTAGTTAATTCTAGCTTATTCATGAAATATGCAATATAATGCAATATAAATGCAATTAAATGCAATATAATAGTCTTAAGTCTATAAAAATTGTAAGCCTATAAGATTACTTTCTTACTATTTTGATCTCTTTTTTTATGATTGAGAATAATCTGTATATGTTTCCAGTTACAAAGAATATGCTTTGTTTTTAAGCAATTTGTAAATATTTTGAAGAGGAGATGATTTTATGACAGCTCTGCTTTATTTTAATATTCTATCCAGACATTGCTGTCTAGTCTGTTTTTCATAGAAGTATGGTTATACCTCAGTGCCCAACTTGAATGATTCAGTATTTGGACACATGTTCAGGAAAAATTACTCAATACTCAACTGTTTGCCATGGCAATTGATCTAAAAATGACAACTTGCTAGAATAAATTTTCTATTACCAGTAGTAATAAATATTTTTATTTTAACTTTAATTTTGTCATCCATAAAATAATTTCTACGATAAAAATTAGTAAGTAATTTAAAATGAAAATGAAATCCTAGAATTGCTATCTTTGTCAGACAAAGTTATACTTGTTCCCCCACTTAATGCATACGGAACTCAATTATCGCATTTTGCAACCAGTTGATAAAATGTTTGAACAATACATGTCTGTGATACATTAAGATTTGTTGCAAGTTCACAAGTTATCTGTTGATTTTTAACAATTTTTTCCTGCAATTTTTCTTTGTTGACAGCTTTGAGTATCCTGTATGTTGGGTATTCTTTAGTTCAAAATTTCCTCACTGGAACTTCTTAAATCATATTTGACATATTTGAAGTTTAAGTGCATCTTTCCTATACATATTATGCATCTTTTTTACTGTTTGTATAGTGTTATGTTATATCCTTTCTGAAACTCAAAAAGCATAATATGCCATATATGCTTTTATCTACAGACATTTTAACTTGTTTTTACTCAAACAAAATATGGAAGTGAAAAGTTCAAAATAAGCTTATAAACAAAGAATTTATTAGCAATAATATGTTAAATTTCACAACTGTTATGGTTAGATCACACATCTGTGTTAAGTAATGACAACTGTTAAAAGTACACAAAAACTTTACATTCAACCCAATAAAAGTAATAGACATATTTTGCTACTCTGCATATGTATATTCCTGGCTGAAACGAAGGAAATATCTTTCTATAGCTGTTGCTCAGTTCACAACTCTACTAAACTTTGTTGTAAACTTTCACATTTCTTTGCATTTTTTTTTTAATGATTTATGCATACTAGGCTTGTAAACGTTTTGTAAAATTTGTATTGAATTTTAATTCAAATGCTTTTGTAAGTGTGTTTTTTGAGATCTGGAAGGGATTAATGTAACTTAAAATATTCCTTTTGGGAAAAATTCATTCAGTACCCAAACAGATAGGCACTTAATTCATTCCAGAAGGCTGTTCAAATACCAAGATACTATTGTATATTTCACTTAAGTTCTAAGATCTGATCATCACATTCTCTTCTCTTTAGAAGGCATGTTTTGTTATGATTTGTTAGAATGCAATTACTGCTATTACTATTTTGTTTATATTTGTTATATAATCTTTCTTTTCATACCTAACATTCTGTAAGTGTAATACATTACTTGATGGCCAACAATGTGATTGAACTGATAATTAAATTTTGTATCATTATACATTCATCATAAACTGAGTTCAATTTTAGCTTTGGATAGCTTATCTTTTTCTTTAGCTAGTATTACACTGCAGGTTTTTCAGAAATATACACTTAATATATTTTGCTTGTGCTGAATGATTGCAATTTTCTACTATTTTGAAGCTAAAGGGTAGAGTTTAAAATAATTTAAATATATTATAATTTGAAAAATATTTTTATGTTTAAAAATGTCAATTATGGAGAAAAACATATTTAAATACTGATAAATGTAATTTTGTTTTCAAATTAATGTTCTAAGATTTCATAAAGTAGGTATATTTGGTTCAAATTTCAGAAAATAAATAATAATCAAAATAAAGACTGAATCAGTTTATTTTGAAAATCCTGTATAGCATTTTTCTTGAGTAAATTTGTGAGATCAATTTTATAATTTTTTTTTATCCATTACTATTTATTTCTAAAATATACAAAAGGCTGGAGGAAGCTCAATAGACAATACATCATGATGTATTGAGTAGAGGGACTTAAAGTCCAACATCATGATGTATTGGGGAGGCAACATCCTTCAAAAGGGTTATGAGCTCCACTGACTAGTGACACTACAAGGGTACCTCTCACAGTCTGCCCCAAATACATCACAGTGTTGGATTTTAAGTCCTTTCTGAAATATAGTCAGAATTAAAACAGATTAATGTTATTTTTATTTTAATATAATTTTAATTTTATTTAAATATTACAGGCTTATGGTTTAGTTTGCCTCTACCAATTTCATGGCAACAAATCAAGCTGAGCCCTCTACAAGTAGCACTACACCATCTGTAACAGAAGTTGTATGGACTCATCATACCTTTTCAAACAATGAGGTTGGTTGAATTTCAGTATGAAAAATACAATATAAGAATTTGAATTTTAAATAAATATTTGAATTTTTATTTATATCATTGGGTATTGTATTTATTGTCATTATCTAGAAACCTTTTTAGATCCAGCAATTATTTTTAAAATAAAATGAATGTTTTCTGCTGCTTTTATCAACAATCTTCAATTTTTAAGTATGGAGCATCATCCAAATAGAACATTATCATCTAGAATGCCTTGTGGCTCAATATGATTTAATGTTTAAATATAAAAGTGTTTGATTTAACATTTAAATATTAAGTACAAAATGAAGTAATAAATACAAATATAAAGTATTACAAATGTAATAAAACATTAACTAAATTTTTATCATATTTTTATGGATTGTCTGGCATGTTGGTCTATCTGGGGAGACCATGAAATCAGATATTTTCATATGGTAAAAATCAGCATGCCTGTTTATCTTGGTGAATGCTGGTTTAAATGATTATATGGTGAATTTCTGCATTTTGTCTTCTTTCTAATAATGTAAAATACTTGTTGAATGCTGAAAGTGCTTATGTTTATTTTATCATAATTGGATCCAAAAATGCAAAACTAAACATATCAAATTTCAGAAACTTTTTGTAAATTATCTCATCTTACACTTACTTATTAACATCCCTTTTATGTGAAATTTGAGAGGTAGGTGTTATTTTTAAGATTAGGGTACATTGTCAGTGCAGCCAATACTGACTTACTACTACTAATACTAATACTACTATGTGTCTGAGTGGTCAAGGTGGCAGTCTACTGTTCTGGAGACTCGGGATCACATCCAGATGGGTTGAAGAATCCCCAGCAATTTTTTTGGGGGGTTGGTTTGTCCAGATATGTTGGGTCTCATCCCTCACCTCCCAGCTGCCCCATTGTAGGTCTGCCTGAACCCATAATGGGCTTGATAAAAAAAGACCTTCTTAGTGGCCACGGGGCAGAAAGAGCTTTAAAAAAACAAAAACTACTAATATTAATGCCAAAAAGCTGCTAATCATTTTATTGCCCTTGAATGAAAACTCTTCTTGATTTTAAATCAGTCAAATTACAATGTTATTATTTTATTATACTCAGAAGAAAATTTTTTTAAACATTTATTTAACTAGTTTTGTTAGATCTGATTTTATTTTTTAGTTGCAATTTAACTGGCAAGCCAGTAACCTCAGGGTTTCCAGCATGCTAGTCTTCCCTGATTATATGCAGCATACTGGTCAATCGACAAAAATATGGTATCAATGAGCAATAATATATACATAAAAATTGTGTACTAAACAATGTTGTGCATAAGGATGGTCACCATTGAAAGTAGATATTCTAGCAGTATAACATCCTAGACATGCAGAATATGTCCAATTGTATGAATAAGGGTGCAACTATGCAGACATGAGCAAGCAATTTTCTGAGCGAGTGAGAATATGTGGCAAGAAGAGCCAAGATGTGATAAATACACTGCTGGCCATTAAAATTGCAACACAGGAAGGAATGATCGTATGAACGTCAAAATCATATGAAAGGAAGAAGAGGTTGGGATATGCAAATGATTAGTATTTCAATGCATTTAGACAATGCAGGATGGACAAATAACATCTGAAGCACTGCATAAAAGAAAAGTTGTGCAGTGGATTTCTCATTCGGAAATCGCTTTGTAAGGTCGGGGTTTCATCAGAATATCGTGTTATGCTTCGAATAAGAAGAAGAAATGCTTACCAGTAAGTGTTGGAATTCGATAGAGGCAGGATCATTGCCTATCAAGAGTGTGGATTATCGTTCCGTGATATTGCCACTCGCACTGGTCGAAATCCAACCACTGTCATGTGAATATGGAATCGATGGTTTGCTGAGGGTCTTACTGAACAGCATGCAGGATCTCAAAGCCCTCCCATGACTAACGCCTGAGAGGACAGACATATTGTGACTTGGCTGTGCAAAACCATATAACCACATCACGGACCATTAGTCAGGAAATGAGCTTGTTTGCAGCACGTCCAGTAGTGCTGTGTGATGCATCGATGTGTCGATGTCACATCGATGTTTTTGTTCGTCGATGCATCGACCTTCCGATGTTTTTGAAACATCGATCCTGAATCGATGTTAGCAATATGTGAATTTTGATTCATTGATGCATGCAGTTCATTCTTTGTTCCTAGTGTTACCACCTGTTCGGTTTTCACCCGGACAGTCCGGGAATTTCGTAGAAATTGTGAAATTGCGATGAAACAAAGTTCTCGCAAATATGTTTACAAATTTACACTATTTTAACAGTGAATGAACTCACACTCATTGAAACTCATCCGCAACTCTGCCATGTTAGTCTGTTTACGCCGACTTGTGGCGCGCAACCTGTCGACTTTGAGGCCGGATGGCCGAACGGTCAAGGTGGCAGCCTACCGCTCTGGGGGACCCGGGATCGAATCCGGACGGGTCAAGGAATCCCCAGGAATTTTTCGGGGGGTGGTCTGTTCGGATATGTCAGGCCCCGTCCCTCACCACCCGGTCGCCCCATTGTGGGCCTGGCCGAACCCATAATGGGCCTGCTATAAAAGGCCCTCTTAGTGCCCACAGGGCGGAAATAGTAAAAAAAAACCCTGTCGACTTTTTTTTTGCATGTACGATCGTACACGTATCAAATAGAGCTAAGTTATCTGTACCTGTTCTTTCTTAATTTAGGTTACTTACGTTACTCCTACGCAAGTCCCTAGTCCCTAACTGTAACTGATTTAGAACCGGCATGCACGTTATTCTTCGCATTGTAAAATGACATTGCGCATGCGTCAGGAACTTCTGTTCGAAGAAACCTGGTTTTGTTTTTTTTTTTTTTTAAATTGTTTGAGTTTATCTTGATTGAACATCGATGTTCCAATGGGCATCAATCAAACATCGATGTGAAATCCGACATCGAAATTTAGCATCGATGCTTAGGCAAACATCGATGTTTGACATCGATGTTAAAATTATAGACATCGCACAGCACTGACGTCCAGTATCTGCTTGTACGGTGTGACGACATTTGCAGCAGCGTGGACTGTCAGCACAGCGACCATTACTTTGGCTTCCCTTGACAATGTAGCATAGAGAGAGACGGTGACTCTGGTATGCCCAATGACAAAGCTGGATACACGAGTGGCACAATGTCGTCTTTTCAGACGAGTCCCGGTTCTGCATGCAGCATTCTGATGGCCATATATGTGTCTGAAGGCTCCGAGCAGACTGCTCGTCACCTGCTTGCATTTGATATTGGCTTAGGGGCCCTGCACCTGGTGTGATGATATGGGCAGCCATTGGGTACACGACATGCACATCTCTAAGTTGGATCGATGGTAATTTGAATGCAGATTGGTACATTTCTGACATCTTACATCCAGTGGTTGTGCCTATCTTCAAGGCCTGCAAAATGCCATCTTCCAACAAGATAATGCAAGACCTCATGTTGCACATCATGTTCTGACCTTCCTCGATACAGAGGATATTCAATTGTTGCCCTGGCCTGCACGGTCTCCAGATCTCTCACCAGTTGAAAACATCTGGTCATGGGTTGCTGAGAGACTGGTCTGCCACCCCTCTCCTGCTAATACAGTTGATGAAGTATGGCATAGACTTGAAGCAGCATGGAATGAGTTGCCCGTTTCTGTCATCCAAGCCCAGTTCGACTCCATGCTTAAATGGATAAGGACTGTTTTAGCTGCCGGGGTGGCAACTGTGTCTACTAATTTCATGCCCCTGTAAATCCCCAAACTGCTTGCAAATTTAATCATTTTGTCTTTATGCCATACTGTTTATGTACAATAAATATTTTTTTTTTTTATTTGCTTTCCTTCTTGGTGTTGCAATTTTAATGGCCAGCAGTATTGTCCCATGTGCGAGAACCAAAAATTCGCTCTCACCAGCGAGATTTTTCACTTCTCACTTATGCATGGTTTTCTTTTGCGAGAACTATATCACTTAAACCTCTCACACACTACTAAATTTTTTCATCTGCATAGTCACACCCTAAGGTTGGGAAATTAAAGCAGTCCTAGGAAAATTTGCAGTAAGAAAATTAATAATACGACAATAGCTGCAAAAAATGGAGTAGCATCTCACCTAAGGCTACAGACATTAATTGAGAAAATTCATCAAAACACAGGAAAACTGTTTTAAAAGTGAAATTGAAACATTGCTTGCTTTGTTTCTGATCAATTCGGTCATTTGTTACATGACTAAATAGCTATGTGCATGCAGTAGTAGGGATGAGTCAGTCTTGCTTGACCAAACCATGTTTTCAATTTTTACAAAAAATCAAAACAGAACTTTAAAAAGATCTGAAAAATATTTTTCTTTTAAATTTCAACTCTTTTCAACGAGCAAAATTTCATGTTGGCTTGAATTAAAATGAAATATTTCTTTCCCATGCAGAAAATTTACAAATTAATAAACAGCATAATAAACTTTTTCTGAATTAAGTACAGGGTGGCCATAATTAAAGTTTCCCTATTCAGAGCACACTGTAGCTACAACCAATAAGTGAATTGATACCAAAGTTTGCATACTCTTATACAAATTTTGGTATCAATCCCCTATTGGTTGTGCTCTGAATGGAGAAATTTTATCATCATTTTATAAACAATTATTTTTCTTTATCTTTCATATTTTTTTATAGGTTTATTATGAAATAAAAAATATTAAAGTTATAAAGTTTAAGATGTTTTAAAATATATTTTAAAATGTCTTAAAATATTTATTTATTTGAAAACTCCATACATAAAATTAATTTTTAGGAGGAGGGGTAACATTAATAACTTTGGTCAATAAGTTATATTTACTCCATATAGACTCTACTGAGTTATTGATGGAAAAAAATCCATGAATTCTATCTGCTGGATTTTTGCAAACAACATTATTAGTATAAAAAACATTATTAGGAAGTGTTGATAGACACAAGTATTCAAAATCCTTACAGTCAAACATGTAATGATTTAAAGTCGCATTTCCTTTCTTACAAAATGGACACATTTCCGGTGAACGTAGATCAATACACAAGTGTTTCCATGTTAAACAAAACTTATTTAGACGAATCTGTATTATCGTTTTTTTAACAATAAACAATAGCTGCTGATAATAAATGTAAAAGCACCAGTTGTTGTCTAATATTTCTGAGTGCCTAATATTTCTGGGTAGCTAATATTTCTGGGTACTTAGCCTTAAGAATCCTGTTCCCTTCTCTCAAGAAAAGATTATCAAACTCTCGTAAAATTGTATTTGTGTAATATTTCAAAACATCTGGAGAGGACTCTCTCAAGGAGAATGAGATACCTATTCTATTAAATAGATTCTCCAATTTAGTAAACCAACAGAATTTGAACAATCTTTTTGATGAAAACTTCTTCAAAGTAAAATAAGCCTCACATTCCAAGGATGATGGGTCAGAGATTATGTTTCTCAGAAAATTTAAGGTTAATTTAACAAAGCGTTTCTGGGGAAACTCGAGGCCTAATTCAGATCTAATTGCATACAATGGGATCGACTCTCAAGACCAAAAAGACGATGAAAAAACATCAGTTCTATAGAGTCGATATCCTCAAAACAAAAAGGCCCCCAAAAGGGCAGACCATAAGACTAACTCAAAGTAAAAAGAGAGGCGGCAAGTTTCTTACACAAAGCCATATAACTGTTTTTAACCCTTCTCAAGATTTCTATTATTACATTTATTTTGGAAAATGCTTTGCCTTTAACATAGGAAATGTAATTTTGGAACGAGCCAGTAGCTGAGAGACGAATTCCCAAATATATAACTTCATTAACATTACTGACTCCTTTACCATTTAAGAAAAACTTATCAGCTTTTCTCAACCTTCCACCATGCCTAAAAATTATTATTTTCAATTTGGATAAATTAATACTCAAACCCAAATTAGAGGAATAATTATATAACCTGTCCAATTTCCTTTGTAGATAAATCGGGGTGGTGGATAACACTACTATATCGTTAGCAGATTGAAGTAAATGGATTTCGTAGTCTCCCAGAGAAATGGGATCTTTACTTAAATCATCAACATAACAACATAACATAACAAATAAACAATATTGGACTTAAGGAATCACCCTGTGGTAAACCCTTTTCTAATGAAAAGGCATCTGTAGACCCAGCACTACTGGAAATCCTTGCTTTCAATCCTGAAAATAAACATTAAATAATGTCAAAAAACTTGTCAGAGATTCCAAGCATTTTAATCTAAATAACAAAATCTTCAAAACAACACTGTCAAAGGCTTTCTCATAGTCAATGAACACTGCACTGAATGTCAATGAACACTGTTGTCTTTTCTTTGATAGTTGTCTACAAATAATGGAGTGAAGAATCAGAATATTATTTAAAGTGCTCTTCCGAGGTTGGAAAGCAAATTGCACAGGTTGAATCAAATTCCTCTCTCTTAGCCAAATACTCAATCTATTTGCCAAAATAGAAGTAAATATCTTTCGAACTACAGGCAACAGCGATATTGGTCGAAAGTTAGCAGGCTCGTCTTTTTTATGGATAACTTTTATCTTTACCTCTAACCATGATTACGGAATTCTAGCAGTGCCATAAACCCAATTAAATAAGTTGGTCAAGTAAGGAACCAAAGTATTCTTAGAGTAAACAATTAAAGATGGTGAAACATTATCCACCTCAGGAGCAGAACGAATTCGCATCTTTTGAATACTGTATTCATCTCTGTATCAGAGATAGGAAGAGCTAAAATAGGATTAACAACAAAAGAAGCCATCGGTAGTGACAGAATCGGGGGTAAATTCAATGTATTTAAACTAAATAACTGTTGATAATAAGTAAACCAATCAGTCAAGGAAATCTCTTGGTCTAGTATGCACCTGATCCGATGAAAATGACCTATCCGATACCAAAAGGTCTTAGAGTCTCTAATCCCAGCCAACTGTAAAGCATAATTACAAAAATATTTCCTCTTTTTGGCCCTAATAAGTGAATTATATTGTCATTTTAAATTTAAAAAGGAAGCCAAATCAGCCTGACTATTAGATCTGCAGAATTTGCCCAAGGCAATGTTTCTTGCTCACTTCTGAATGTAACATGACCTATCAAACCAAGGGGGATGAATCTTCCTGTAAGGTTCAACACCTTCAATTAACACATTTAGTCTTTTTGCTATAGAGAATAGCTTGGATAAAATAATACCATAGAAATCATCAACAGACACAGAATCAAAGTTTATATTCCGGAAACTCTGCGATATGGCGTCACCAAACAATTCTACTTTAGAATCATTCCAAACACAACAAGTCTTGGTGGGACAAAGCCCATCAACAAAGGAAAATCTGTTTCCAGTCGACAACTGTAATTCCACTAGAAAATGGTCCAAAGATGAGAGAGACCCAACACGAAGGGATTTAACCTTATGAACCAGATTCTGAGAAATGACAATAAAGTCTATAACCGAACTACCCACTTTTGACAAAAAAGTTAGCTCACCTGGGAAATCTCCCTTAGTACGACCATTAAGGAGAATAAAATCGTGTTCAATCAACCAATGCAGAAACTGTCTCTTGGCCGTGTCAACTTTCAAATCCTTTGATCGTCTGACATCAAAAATGTTGGGAGAGGCTACATTCAAATGTGAATCAATTCCTTCACCAATATGGATGTTAAAATCACCCATTATCACAATTCCTTGGTAGTACGAAGACCAAGAGTTCAAAATAGAAGAAAACAAGTCTAAACGTAAGCCCTGTTGTCTCTGTGAGCCAGTATATACCACCAGCACCAGGATATTTCTAGGATCGAGAACTGAGTAAAGTGATAAGCCAATCACCATCAAATCAGGGTAAGTTTCCAATAACTTGAAGTGCCCTCTAACTTCATCAAAAAAGAACAAAATACCATCATGGGGTCTACCTGGCCCCAATGGCTTTTATGCTGGAATCATAAAATACCTCCAGTTTACTGGAAGAAAGTTAGCAAGGAAATCACCATCCACTGAAACCATCCAGGTTTCAACAAGGGCTAAACAAATTAAACCCGGTCGTTTAATCATATAATCCAACAGAGAACACTTGGTGCTAAACCCACAACAATTCCAAAAAAAACAAAGATTCCAAATAACTACTTGAACCAAACTAGTCCTGGCACAATGAAGTTGAAAGTCTCTCCAAACCGACTTTCCTGTAGGGAGGAAAATTCAAAATAAAAAAGAAACAGGCACCTATATTAAGCGATGGCCCAAAATAGTATACGTGAATGTCTTGTCATCTACATATAATACGTCATCTCGCAAAAAACATGACAACCAGCTTCCTGGTATTCTTTTAAAAAAGTAACCAGGTTTTTATGGCAAACACGGGAATTAAACGACAGATCCAGTGCCAACCTAAATTTCACCAGTCTTTCCCTGCCCTCTTGTTCAGTTTTCATCCAAAATTTTTGCAATAAATAATTTCAACATTTCCAGGATGACAACTGGATGCTATAGAATTCCCAAGCTTTACCTCTCAAACGGGAAAAATTGACAATATTATGCCCCGACAGAGCAGTCACATCCAATTCCTTAGAAAATAAGTTAACAATATAATCCCGCAAATCCAACTCGAGTGGAATACTATGATTAAACAATGTTAAATTGCTTCTGTTTGAAGCATTAACTTGTCTATCATAGGCAAAGGAGTGTAACTCACCAATGTTGTCCAAAGGTAACTGATGTTGCTGTTCCAGTTTATCTAGTCGCGAACATACTTTAAAAAAGTCAGTTTCCAATTTCCTTACCGAGGACAAAGTTGACTGATTGGCCATTTCCAAATTGGTGAGCCTATCTTCAATACACTTCAACTGCATCATTACTGCATTTAAAGTCCTGCATAACTGCATAACTTTTAGCAAGTTAAACTTAATAAAAAATTATTTAAGATCAACCATTGGACAAGAACAATTATCCAATACAGTAGAGCATCGATTATCTGACTCAATTGGGGACTCGGGTTGGTTGGATAATTGAAAAGTTGGATAACCGAAAAGTATGAAAAAATCCATTGTTAGTGTAGTATATTATTATATCCCATGTAATTAGTATATTAGTATATCGCTATTAACCTACTTTGCGTTGAATTTTCCTCCATGTTAAGCCTATCAAATTTTTAAAAGTAATAATCGTTGCTATTGTATCGTTAAAAATTAGAAAATTAAGCCTTGTTTAAATACTGGCTCCCTTTCATGGTCGAGCCAATGTTGCCAGCTAAAACACGTAAAAATAATATTAAAGTAGCCAAGACATAGCCAAATATTGTAGCGCCACATCACTAGCGGACATTTGAATTTGCCGACTAGAACGCGATCGGTTAACCGAGGTGACGATTAATTGGGGGTCGGATAATTGATGCTGTATTTCTATTATTTCAATAGAATACAATATCGTTAAAAATAGTAATTATGATGGTGTAATTAATGAATTTGCTGAAATGAAAGCCAGAAAAATTCAATTAAAATAAATCTTATTAAAAATCTACTGTAATGTATTTGTTTTATTATTTTCCCAAAACCAAATAAATTAAGGGGCCTAAATGCAAATTCTTGCACAGGGCACAGAAATGGCTAGTTACAGCTCTGTCATTAACAGTATCTTATTTTTCTATTTTTAAAAAACAAAAGGAAAAAATTAACCTATCACATAACCTGCACCTCATTACAAATTATCTTTTAAGGGATATAAAATCTGAATTTAAGATAGTAGAACAGACACTAAACATTCAATGAAGTAAAGTTTCAGAATTTTTTTCTGAAATAACAGATCAATTTTTAACAAAAGGTTAAATGTTAAATTACAACAATTGAAAATCTTCCTGTTGTGATGATCAATTTAAATTTTTCATAAATGTAATTTTTGTTCATTGATATTTCAAATAATTTCTTCAATTCTTTTGTATCTTCTTATATTTTAGGCTTCACTGCAACCATACAGTACAGTAAATGGGGTTGCAAGCAGTAATGATTACCATGATTCTCCTGTACCTTCAGAAAATGCTACTCCTCATTATGAACATCAGTTAGATAACAACAATCCTGATGAAGCACAATGTGATAGTTATAGAATGGTAAATAAAATTTTAGTCATAATATTTTACTAATATAATATAATTATCAGTACTTTTAATGATCTTTTATATTTATTTAATAATGATAAACAAAAATAATATTTGAACTTGGTGTCATATCCAAAAAGATGGGAATGTAGAGATGTTCTCTTTTTAATGTATTCATTCTAGCACACTTAATAATTTTCATAGTCAATGATCTTATAAAAGAATGAAAATGTTACTGAATACAGTAGCGTCCAGAAACCAGAAATCCACATTAACTCAACATTCCTTAAAACTCAGTTTCATCCAAACAAAGAAATATGTGTAATGTAATTTTTATCTCTGTAACTCTTATTGTTCTTCACTGAAGACATTTCATTACAGCATCAATTCCATGTGTTAATTAACAAAGAATATAACTTTTTTATCAAGGTGTCCCTGCAAAATGCCAGGATGCAAATGTCACTAACTTGAAAGCAACCACTGAATAGTCAATAATATAACACTCACTAAAACCAATAACTGGTGCAAAGTAAGGTTAAGCAACAAATAACAAATGTTTTCTTAACTCCTTCAGAGTTCTTCCTTGGGTTTTTTAATTTGAAATTAGCTGGATCTTCTAAATTCATTCTAGAATATAACATTCAAAAATATAATTGAACTGTAAGATGAGTCTAAACAAAGGATTTATGCACATGTGTACTTCTGTGTTACCCATAAATAAGATTGACAATTAAGCTTTACTGTCAAGTAAAACCTGCCAAGTCATAGATAAACTCATCTCTTCCCTAAAATTAATGCAAATGGCCTTAAAAATCTCCACTGCCTTTAACCACATGTGTTCTGTGTGTGGAGTAGTAAGGATGAGTTGGGCTCTGGACAAGTCTGCTGTAATATCAAGGTCTATTGCATACATGGAGAGTGCAGTGGCACTCCTATCATTCTGTATATTATATGATTTATGCTCTAGTATCCTGATCCCCATTGAATGTTTAGTCGACCCAATAAACACCATGTCCCTATTCCATCTGTTGTCCCTGACGACAACCCTATATATGCCCTGAAGTCTGTTAGGGTTGGGGTTCTTTTCTGTTATGTAGTAGGCTGAACATGGAGATGCATCTCCTGTATGTAATATTAACCCTGCTGTTTCTTTGCATTTGTGGTATAAAAGGATTTTAAATGGGTTAAAAGTAAGAGGGATCTTTTCCATTGCCTCTTCCCGTTTATCTCTCAGCAGTTCTGTTAGGAGGATGGATCTTGTCTGTACACGTCGCTAACATTCACACATTCTTTATATAATGTTGGTGTAACCATGTGCTCTGGCTATTTGTTCTATAAGTCTTAATTTCTTTATCAATGTTTGGGAGGTAGAAGTATGTGTGAATGCTCTTCTAACTAAGGCTCTGAAGGCTGCAATCTTGTACAGAAACAGATCATACTATCCAATTGGGATATATGTGGATATTTGAACACTATGAAAAACTAACACACCAATAACTGCCATAAATCGTCAGGCTATAATTTGGAATAAATAATTATAAATTACAAATGAATTTGGCACTAGAGGAAGGCATTATGCATCATATTTTGTTAAAATTAATAAGTATAATATTTAATTAAATAATTTAGATTAAACTGGAAAAAAAGAATTGGCCCAAAGTGGGACTCAAACCCACAACTTTCATTTACCGTGCAAATGTGTTGCCAGTTACACTACCCAGACCTTAGGTCCAATCTCCTCTTCCTGATTATAGCCCGAAGATTTACAGCATTTGTTGGTGTGTTGGTACTTTGCATTGGGTTAGTTTACATGCTTATGAAAACTGACATGCATATCCAGACCCTTCAACACTAATATCTATGTCCAAGAATAAATGAACGACAATCCATATGGACTGTACCTTGAGGTAGAGCGACAACACAGCCCCGCCCACTGTGCTGTTGCTCTACCTCAAGGTACAGTCCGTACGGATTGTCATTAATTTTGTTGACAAAATGCACAAAATTCAGTATTATCCTCCAGAATATGATGATGTCACAGATATATCTCTTGTAGAGGACAGTGTTGTAGAGGAACTGGGGGAGGGTCTTGCTTTCCAATTGTTTGATGACCATTTCACAGAGAACCCCAGATACCAGATTGCCCATCGGGACTTGAGTGTGTACAATCCCATTAAATTGAAATATAGAATTATAACACACCAAGTGGGCCATCTCTAGTGCATGCTGGTGCAATGTGTTATCATCAATCGTAATAATGTTTAATAAAACATTTATTAATACTAGGTAGCCAGTTAATTAAAATTAAGAATAATAAAATAATAATTAAAACTTTGGTTTACATTGAAACTGAAACTAAAATTTAAAATAAAATCAAAGTAATTGAAACATAATACTTTGGAAAGTATGGATAAAGTACTTATTGTCTGTCTTGATTGATTTGGTTATATTTCATCCAGGCAGAGTCGATTCTTTATTTATAGCACTTTTTATAAAATGTTAATTTTGGCTGACAGTAACAAAACATTTTGCTTTTAATCTATACCAAGGGTGGGCAACCTTTTTTATAACATGGGCCAGAATAAATTTTACGTTTTTTCCGTGGGCCATAGTAGTTAATTGACACCTTGTGACCTGTAAATTTTTAGTCTGCAAATATGAAATAAATAAATAAATAAAAAGAAATTAATTACTACAGTCGACCCCCCTATAACACTGTTGATTATTCCGTTTTATATGAATTCCATGTTGTATGAGTCACTTAGATTTTACAAATGCCTGTGCCGGGCTGTGAACGGCTCACCTATTTGTAAAATTTAAGTGACTTTAAACACAATAAGAACATCACTATGTAGTTGGATACGACAGACATTACATTTTCTAATTGCATAGCTTTTGCACATAGATTTTCTTGATGGATGATGCGATGAGATATAAATAATTTAGAAAAATTCTGTTCTCCCATTTTTTGTTTGAATAAGGAAATGACTCCCTTATTTTTTCCTGTCATTGCTGCCACAACACTTCAGAAAAAAATATTCAATTTAAACTAGACGAATTACATCGAAAATATTTATTTATAATTTCTTCTAAACATCTCGCGGGCCGGATAGAAACTTTTCGCGGGCCGTAGCTGGCCCGCAGGCCGGGGGTTGCCCACCGTTGATCTATACTAATATTATAAAGAGGTAATTTTTGTAAGTTTGGATGTAGGGGTAATCTCTGAAACTACTCATCCGATTTCAAAAATTCTTTCACCAATACTTAGAATGGAACTTCAGGGTGGACACAGGCTGTATATTATTCCATTAAACATTCATATAAATTAAAAGACATCATCTAGGGTTAAGGCTTTTATGTCCAACAGATGGCGCTATGAGTATGATGCCCTAAGTTTGCTTTTCTGTGAGGATGAACTAAAGCAGATCATCATCTATCTATCTATATAAGTAAAAATGTAATGTTCGTTTGTTCCTACCGATTCCTTTGAAATTTTGACACAACACGCCATTCAAATATGCATGTGTTTTTATATAATATACGTGTCAAAATTCCCCCACTGGGGAGAGGGATAGGATTAAGGCTTACCATGAAGAACTTGGCTTCTATTATACTATTTTAGATGCAGTTTTTTGTGTTTTTGATTGCATTTTGATAAGGTACGTCAAGAGAATGTACACTAAGAAGGGATTTTTTGAAAAATTCACCCCCCACAGGGGAAGTGTTATACATTTATAATAGATACATTTTGAGCCACAACAACATGTGGCAAGGTCTGCTAGTATATATACAAAATGGATATAGATAATATTATATTGCATTTGCCGGCTTTTTATGCATGAAATGCTGCTAAAAAGGTGAAAGAAAAAAGGCTTTGTTTTGGAGGTCAGGAACAGATTAATCCATTTTACGTTGTTTATTATGGGAAAATTTGATTTGGTTTGAAACCAAATCAGTTTCCAAATAACTTTAGGAACACGTTAAGTTCATAAATTGAGGTTTGATTGTAATTAAAATAAGTGGAATATATATTATAATTTTAGGGACAAATTCATTTAATTATTAAACATATCCGGTAAAAAAATATTATTTTTGCTAGTAATTTATTTAATGTTAATTTTCTTTTCCAGAATAAAACAACTTAGAAGTTTTTTTTCTATGAATTTATACATTTTTCTTGAATTTTGACCACTTCAAAGTGTTTTTTATATTTACTATTTATTAAAATATAGTTTTTTCCAATAAAAGATTAAATTTACCTAAATTCAATTGAATTCATATTCTTTTAGTTTATAAATAATTAATTGAATTATTATATTAAGAGACAATGATAAGAATTATTAAATATTTTCCATTTTAAAGTTGTGAAATTTTTAAAACAGTTTATTTAATTTTTTTAGCATTTGTCATCCCGAGGACATTCTCCTGAGAATGTAATTACATCATCACCGTCTACCTCAGAGAATAATTCTCTAACTCTTCAAGCTGAAGCTTCTAATTTACAACAAACATCAGTTTCTCAAGAATCTGCTTTAGGACATGTACCTCTTACAGTTAATTCCCATTTAACATTGCAACATGCAGCAAATCTCTCACAACAGAATTCATCCAATTTGGGCTTACCTCTTATATTGGATCGAGGGAGTCTCACTGCATTTGTGAATAATTCTCGTCCTGATACTACTTTATCTTTGGAAAATCTCCACAGACCAGTAATATCTAGTCAGAGTTTATCACATCGTTCAGTTTTAACTAATGATCAGTCACAATTTTTAACTGCAGATATTTCAGTAGCTGCTATTACCCATAACTTGTTACCACCTTCATTAACACAAAGAGAAATGTTACCAGCCATGATATCAAGCACTTCATCTATAAGTCACAACATTGGTTCTTCATTTCCAATAAATCATAAACAAATGTTAGCACAAAAATATGCAGCAGAACTAGAAGCTCCATCTACATCCTCATCAGTTTCTTCAAATCTCAGATCTCATGTTATTGAAAATATGAATGATAGACCTGCTTCACCTTATGTAGTATCTAGTGCAAATGCTTTAATTGATACACAAGCTATATCTGTTTATACCTCTCATCAATCTTTGTCCACTTCAGTATCTACTTCAAGTTTACCTATTGATGTTTATTCAATGGATAGAGGAATTGCACTTGTAAGCAGTACAAGAGAAAGTCCTGATGATATCATTGAGGTATTGATTTTTATATTTAAAAATTAGATTATAAATTGCATTATGTTTATAAAATTTTGCTGAATTAGTTTGAATGACTCATAAACAATGGAATGTTAGAAATTAGTGAAAAGATACAAATGCTAATAAATCAAATTTAGTTTAACTTTAGTTAGAACTGTTCCTAAATCAAATTCTCAAACATTTCATGTTGAGAAGACAAACTTTATTTCTGATTTCACTAATTTCTTTTATATATATACAGTCGACCCCCCCTATAACGTACGTTCCTATAACAACAATTCCTATAACGTAGCAAAAAATTGTAGAAACTTTCGTATAACGTACCTCCTATAACGTCGTTTCGCGAGAAGATTGATAGTCTGGACCAATAGTGGATGAGCAGCCGAACTACTTACCTCCGACCCTGCGCCACGCTACGGAGCGGCTAAATTGAGTTTGCTATCGTCTGTTTAGTATTATATATAAATTATATATAAATTAGGTACTGTACATATAATTATATATTAATTATATATAAATTAGGTACTG